AGCGGTGGCACTGAGTCTCCCTGCCCTGCTTTCCCCTGCCATGCTGGGTCCCACCCACTGGACAGTGGAGGCCCCTAGGGGAAAGGCAGCAGGGCAGGGAGCCAAGTCCACAGCAGGCATCCTATGTCCACCTCTTCCCCACAGGTTCTGCTCCAGCTGTGCCACCCATGATGACACTAAGATGTGGGGCGAGGTGGACACACTTGAAGGGAGAGAGAGGCTGCAACTAGATTTAGACAGACTACAAAAGTGGGCAGAGGAGAATAGGATGGGGTTCACCGCAGACAAACGCAGGGTGCTGTGCCTTGGGAGAAGGAATCCACAGCATACATACAGGCTGGGGAGTTCCCTTCTTGAAAGCACAGAGGAGGAAAGGGATCTTGGAGTCATTATTGACTCCAAGATGAGCATGAGCCACCAGTGCCAGACCGCAGCCAGCAAGGCCAGCCAGACCCTGTCATGCATCCAAAGGTGCATCTCAAGCCGGTCCAGAGAGGTGATCCTCCCCCTCTATGCGACTTTGGTCAGGCTGCAGTTGGGGTACTGCGTCCAGTACTGGGCGCCGCACTTCAAAAGGGATGTGGCCAGCCTGGAGAGGGGTCAGAGGAGGCCACCCGCTTGGTGAGAGGGCAGCAGGACAGGCCCTACAAGGAGAGACTGAAGGACCTGAACCTGTTCAGCCTCAGCAAGAGGAGGCTGAGGGGGGACCTGGTGGCTGCCTACAAGCTCATCGGGGAGGATCAACTGCAAATAGGCAGAGCTCTTTTCTGCCCAGCACCACCTGGGTGATGAGGAACAATGGTCATAAGCTGATGGAGAATAGGTTTAGGTTGGAGATCAGAAGGCAATATTTTACAGTTAGGGTGGCCAAAATCTGGAACCAACTTCCCAGGGAAGTGGTCCTCGCCCCTACCTTGGACAAATTCAAGAGGAGGTTGGATGATCACCTGTCTGGGGTCTTGTGAACACAGCATTCATTCCTGCCTGTGGCAGGGGTCAGGCTAGATGATCTGTTCAGGTCCCTCCTGACCCTAGCTAATATGAAACTATGATGGAGAAGGCAATTGTCAACAAAACTTAAAGGATCATCACGCCCCTTTATAAATCCATGATCACACCTTGAATCCTGTGCCCTGGTCTGGTTCCTACACCTCAGAAAGAATAGATACAAACTAGAGAAGGTCCACAGAAGGACAACAAGGATAGTAAGTGGTAAGGAGGGCCTTCCATATGAGTAGACTAAAGGATCCAGGCCCGGTCAGTTTAGAAAAGAGACACTTGAGAGGGGACATGAGAAAGATTTACAGAATACCAGCTGGTGAAGATAAAGGAAATGGGGATTTATTATGTACCATCTCTTACAATACAAGACTTTGGGGGAGGCCTGAGGAGCCCTTATTTTTTGCCCTTTCCCTGGGTCCCTTGTGGGGTCACCAGGGTCCCTCTTGATGAGTTTGGCTAGAAGGATCCCCCTGGTCCTGCTGGCTCCCCACTAGTTCCTGCCAGCCCCTGCATTGGGGGCTGATGGGGTGGCAGCCCTATTAGAGGGCTTCTGCCCTGCCATAGCTCAAAGTGGGGGTGAGAATGGGTGGGGTGTGAAGGGAAGCTTCTGGGCTCCCCCTCCTCTCAGCAGGGGGCTGCAGGGGTCAGGAGGGCTGGGGTAGCTGCCTCCTCCTGGAGGAGGAGAGGTGGAGGCTCAGACTGGCTTGTGGTTGGTAGCAGAGGTAGTGAAGTTTGGGGAGGGGCCATGTGTAGGGGATGGGGGTGAAGCTGAGGGCTGGGATTCTCCAATGTGCTTGGTGTGCTGGGGTCAGGGGCCAGGACTGGGGGTGGGGATGGACACACACACACACACACACACACGGGTGTGGCTTGCTCAGACTGAACACAAACAGCAGAGGAGAGGGAGTGGGACACAGGACTCACCATGAATGGGAGACAGGGGGACTACTGAGGCAGCTGGAGCAATGCAGAGGCCATGCTGGCAGGGCAGGGACATCTCAGGCAACTGGCATTAGTAGTGGCTGTGGGGTCCCCACAGACTGCCCAACAGCCATCAGCTCAACAGCAGGGGCAGGAAGCAAGAGCTAGGAGCAGCAACAGGTGTGTGGAGGGATTGGAAGCAGAAGTAGGAGCAGCAGAGGTCTGCGGCCAGCCCAGGCAGATTAGGAAAGGGCTGGCCCCATAGGGAGCCAGAAGAAGCCCTCTTTGGGAACAGGGAAATGGCAGAAGCCGCAGCTCCAAAGTAGGGGAGAGAGCTCAATGTAGCTCCCTGCCGAGCTTCAGTGGCAGCTAGTAGAAGTGGTGGTTCCCCTTGCTGCTCACAGGTGACTGGGCGAGATGGACCTAGGGTCTTAGAGAGTAAATGGCAGTTTTGATATTCTTCTATGTTTTTATGCTGCAGAGGGGAAGTTATCACATTCCTTCCCTGTCTGTAACATCATAAAGTTGAGAGAGGGAGCAGGAGGCAGGTACAACGATGAGGGAAATATTGCGAAACAGTAACGCTTTCTGTCACAACACAAACCCTAAGTTGCATCACACCTGATTTGTTATCTGTGCAGTGATGTTCTCATTCTGTTAAAATCATTCCCAGCAGCCCAAGAGGACGGCAGCCAGAAACAAGAAGAATCAGCATTGAGAATCCTCCTTGTTGGTAAAACTGGAGCTGGAAAAAGTGCCACAGGAAATACCCTCCTTGGGGAGAACAAGTTTGAGTCCAAACTTGGGGCAAAACCAGTAACTTTGGAATGTGCCCAAGGAAGCAGGAAGTGGAATGGGCGTGAAGTTGTGATAATTGACACTGCTGACATTTTCAACCCAAATACGAAAGGGCCAGAAATTTCTCATGCGGTTCATTGGTGCTTCAGGCTCTCCCATCCAGGCCCTCATGCTCTGGTGCTGGTGACCCAGCTGGGCCATTACACAGAGCAAGACAAAGCGGCTGTGAAGCAAGTACAAGAAATATTTGGCCGTGAGGCTCTGAAGTTCACTGTTGTTTTATTCACTCGGAAAGAAGATTTAGGGGATGGCTCCCTGGCTGAGTATGTGACAAAGTCAAATAACAGAGAGCTCCGAACATTGATTAAAGCCTGCAAGAACCGATACTGTGCTTTCAACAACAAAGCAGAAAAAGGAGAGCGAGATGCACAGGTCAAAGAGCTGATGGAACTGATTGAGGAAATACTGCAGGAAAATGGGGGCAAGTACTGCCCCAATAATCGGTCAGCCCTGGATACTACGTCAAATGAAGAGAGTGGAGCACAAAAGAGAGACAGGAGAAAGTCTGAGCCAACTATTAGGCAACATGTTGGACAGAAGTTGGTTAGCTGGTGGCAAGGATGGACTTCCACTGACTATTGAGTAACCCATGGAGAAGGCAAGGATTTTTGGGGTAATATTTTTTATTGGACCAACCATCTAGCTGGGAGGGATAGAGACAAGCTTTCCTTGTGCCCTTCCTTGGGACTCTGAAGAAGAAAAAAAAAAGCAGACACCCACTGTAGCATGGAGAAAGCATGATCCACTATTAAGAATAGCCACCAGGATGACAAAAGGAAGTCGGGCTGGTGCATAGGAATCCTGTTTCAAACACCAGTGTGGACATTCTGGGTTTCTCATTTTTTCTTAAAAATTTGGATTTTGTCAATGTGCACAAGCAGCCACCTCTACTGTCTCCCAAGACTGGCACTTCTCATCACATCAACCATCACACCCAAGGGTGGAGCCATGATTTAAAAATGGGGTGCAGGGCCTATTCACCAGCACTACAGGGGAGACTGTGCCCTGATCCCTGCCCCCTCCCACTCTCCACCAGCAGACCTTTCCATGGCAGAAGTAGGTGAGGAGTTTTTTTTTCCAAGTGCCTGAATCAAGTAATCATCTCCCCACTTCTCTGCTCTTGGCACTCCATCCTTTCCCATCTGTGCTTGTGGCATGTCCCTCCCATTTCCCTCTATACCCTTCTGGGCATAGGAAGGGGATGCAAAGATGTGCCTGCTACTGCTGCCTCTGTCCTAGACTCTCCTTCTCTGCTCCAGCTGGGGCTGCAGGGAATGTCTTCACAGGAAGCTGTGCTTGGATGGGACAGGGGCATCTCCAGGCAGAAGGTCCCTTCTTCTGTTCCCTCCTGAAGTGTGGCACCCGGAACTGGATGCGGTACTCCAACTGTGGCTTGACCAATGCCGTATAGAGGGGAAGGATCACCACCCTGGACCTGCTTGTGATGCATCTGTAAATGCACAACATTTGGACTCCTTCCTTGCATTGGCAGCTCATGTTCATCCTGGAGTCAACAATGACTCCAAGATCCCTTTCTGCCACTGTGTTGACAAGAAGGGTGTTCCCCAGCCTTTAAGTGTGTTGCAGATTCCTTCTCCCCAGATGCAGCACCTTGCACTTGTCTGCATTGAATTCTATCCTATTCTCATCTGCCCACCTCTGTAACCTGTCTAGATCTAGCTGGATTCTGTCCCTCCCCTCCAGCGTGCCCACCTTGCCCCACAACTTGGTGTCGTCAGCAAATTTGGACCATGTGCTTTCCACACCCACATACAGATTGCTGATAAAGATGTTGAACAGTGCGGGCCCCAGGACCAAGCTCTGAGGGACTCCACTACCCACATCCCTCCAGGTCGAAAATGACCCGTCCACCACCACTCTCTGGGTGCGACCAGCTAGCCAATTTTCCACCCATCTGACTGTGTAGGCATCAATGCTGCAGTCACCAAGTTTTTTTTTTTGAAGAGAATGTGGTGGGAAACCATGTTAAAGGCCTTCTTAAAGTCCAGGAAGATGCCATCCACCCCAACACCCTCATCCAGGGACTTTGTGACCAGATCATAAAAAGAAACTCGGTTAGTCAGGCAAGACCTGCCCTCAATGAACCCATGTTTGTTGCCACTGAGCATTACCTCCCCTGCTTGGCCCTTGCAGATGTGCTCCTGGATAATTTTCATAAAGGTCTTCCCAAGGACTGAGGTAAGACTGACTGGCCAATAATTGCCAGGGTCCTCCTTTCTCCCCTTCTTGTAAACGGGGACCAGACTGGCCCTTTTCCAATCCTCTGGTACCTGGCCAGTGCCCCATGAGTGCTCATAGAGCCATGCCAGGGGCCCCACTATGACCCCCACCAATTCCCTCAGCACCATCAGGTGAAGAGCATCTGGACCTACTGATTTAAACACATCCAGCCCCTCCAAAAGTTCCCTAACTAGGTCGTCCTTGACCCTAGGCATAGCAGTGCCTCCCCTGGGCCCATCTGCAATTTTAGTGGGGGAGGTGTCCTGGTCCCTGTTCGGGAATATGGAGGCAAAGAATTCATTTAAAGAAGTCAGCTCTTTCATTTGCCGCAATCACCAGATTGCCAAGCCTATCCTGTAGGAGCCCCACATTACCCGGTGCCTTCTTCTTACTTACTGTTTGAAAAAGGATGTTTTATTATCCTTAATTTTGGTCACTAGCCCTAGATCCATCTCTGCCTTGGCCTTCCTAACAGCCTCCCTGCAGTCCCAAGCAATGGAGGTGTAATCCTCCTTGGTGATAGCCCTTTGCTTCCACTGTTTGTACACCTCCTTTTTTGCCTTCAGGCATCCCTGGATGCCTTTGCTGAGCCATGGGGGCTACTTAGCACTTCTGCCCTCCTTGGTGTGCATTGGGACTGACTCCCTTTGAGCTCGGGGGATCATCTTCTTGAAGGACGACCACCTGTTTTGGACTCCCATCTCATTGAAGCTCTGAGACCCCAGTGCCTCTCCTACTAACCTTCTTAGCTTACAGATGTCAGCCCTCCTGAAGTTGAGGACCTCTGCCTTCCTGCTTGCTTTCACCCCTCTGCGCTGAATAGTACATTCCAGCAGGCAAGAACATTATTTCAAATATCAACAAGTCTGTGATATGCCTAACAAAATTCATCATTGCTCTTTGCCTGCTTCATGACAGTATGTGGGAGGTGTTTCTCAGTAATGGATATACCATGGATCCTTTTGAGGTTAAGAGAGGAGTTGAATAAAGCTGTGTTATCACTCCAACACTTTTTGCAATATTTCTTAGTGTAACACTATATCTAACCATCAAGAACTTCAAGTTGGAGTGGAGCTAAGCCACTGAATACATGGTAAACCATTTAATCTCAGTCAAGTCAGAGCCCAAACCAAACCAACCAGATCCTGATCATTGAGTTCCACTGCACTGATGATGCTGTGGTGTGTGATCACTCAGAAGCAGACCTTCAGGCAATCTCCAATGTTTTTACTGAGGCCTACAAGAAAATTGGACTGACACTCAACATTCAAAACACTAAGGTCCTTCATTATCAAGTTGTTAATGAGCAGTCCCCAGCTACAGTATTTCACATTCACTGTGAGACTCTGGAAAGCATTGAATATTTCCTATACCTTAGAAGTCATCTCTTGCAGAAGGTTGACATTGATGAAGAAATCCAGCATTGTCTCAAATGTTGCCTCTAATGTGCAAATGCAGCCTTTGGATGCCTGGGGTAATAGGTGTAGCAGGCTTGTCTTTTGGAGCTTGGGTTGAGTCCCAGACTTAAAATCTTGCTGTTTTGATTGGTGGAGCTCATCCCCCAATCAGGAAGCAGCAAAAGGAGTCCAGTCATGCCCCTTTCCTGAGGAGAGGGGAAGAGGAGTGTCCCATCCCCCCCCCGATTTGATTGAAGACTGCAACACTCAGGTCTGGAAGATTTAAGGGGCGGAGCCTTGGAGCATATAAAAGGAGCTGTGTGCCCAGCATGACGGGAACACATCTGGGACAGAGAAGACAGAAGGGCAGGGCTTAGAAGAGCTGAGGAGAGCTGCTCAGCAGGGTGAAGCAGTAGCCCAGAAGCACCCCTGAAGACTTCCATCAGTGGAGAATGGCAGATGGCTCCAATAGCTAGGCTCTCGGTGTGCAGCCTGGCACATGGTGTCCAGACCCTGGGGGTTGTGTGAGGCGGCTCGGGTCTGCAACCTCTGGTGTGTGGCCAGAGACACGTTGCACAGGATGGTTCATGGAGTAGAACCTTTGGAGTGCTTGGGCAGCTCAGGTCCTCAACCCCCAGTACATGGCTGGGAGCTTGGCTCAGGAGACACTGCACAGAGGGTCCAGGAACAGACTGAGCCTGGTGCTGCATGAGGCAGCCCAGGCCTCTGACCCATAAGAAAAGGTTGAGTCCAGAGAGTCAGATTGTGATCGGGCTACTGAGCCAGCAGACAGGGCCAAGCCAGAGACCCCAGAAGCCCTGCATAGTGGGGCCCTGTTCCAGGGGACAGTGACCCTGCTGAAGCCCACTGCAGGTGAGAGAGCAGCCTGGCACAGATGATGAGGACCACCCTCCAGGCCTGGGAGCTGCGAGTTGCAGGGAAAAGAGGATTCCCACAGGGGAGGGGAGTTCCCCCCCCCCTCAGTTAGTTAAGGGCTCCTGAAAGGGGAGGTCCCACTGAGAGGGGCCCCCCCTAAAGTTACCAGCGTCTTTGTAGGGATTGGGAAAAGCCCAAGGGCATTGTGGTTTCCCCTTGGGATTTAGTTTATCTTTGGGGTTTATCTGTTTCTGATCAGATATTTACTTGTGACTTACCTGTATCTGGAACACTGGTATAAGGTTTTATGTCATTTGCCCAAAGGGTATTGTTTATACTACTGGTTTAGATATCTTTTATACACATACACACACACACACACACACACACACACATATATATATATATACACACACACACACACACACACACACACACATATATATATATACACACACACACACATATATACACACACACACTGTACATATTTTTATATCCATGTTGCTTTCCTTGTGATAAGATAATGTAAATAAATTTTTATATAGTTAAGTCCCCTGACTGTCCTGGCCTGGTTCTGTAGGGACGGAGGGAAACTGAGCGGTCTGCAGTTCCCCCACAACACACCTGCCAGCTAACAATTCCCTTCAATTGGAGAAGGGGAGTATATACCCGAGTTACCTGGGTTACACAGGTTTTTGAGGATCAGAACATCAGATCAAAAATGAAGCTTACAGTTTATCAAGCACTTGTGATCCCCATCATACTATACAGAGTATAGCAGCTTGAGGTGCAGTTTCCCAGAAACCCCTGCACCTATCACCTTGGAACTTGGCATGCTACATGCCCTCAGCATAGGCTACCATCCCTGCACATTACATCCAAATCAGCCAAAAACAAGAACGTTATAGATATTTCATTGATTCCCCGTTATACTCTATGGCCGAATCACCGAATCTTTTCCATATCATTTCCGAATGGATTCGGCTGAATCCGAATTGGCTGAATCCAAATCCAAATTAAATAGTTGCCTATTCACACAGGCCTAATGCAAAGCACCTCCTCATTAGCCCACCTGACCAATGGGTTACACAGATACTTGGGTAAGGTATTGGCACAATTTGTCTTAGACTAGACATCAGGAGGCGCTACTTCACTGTCAGGGTGGCTAGGATCTGGAACCAACTTCCAAGAGAAGGGGTGCTGGCTTCTACCCTGAAGGTCTTTAAGAGGAGGCTGGATGAACACTTTGCTGGGGTCGTTTGACTCCAGTGCTCTTTCCTGCCATGGCAGGGGGTCGAACTTGATCATCTAGCCTGACCCCCTGCCACAGGCAGGAATGAATTCTAGGTGCACAAGACCCCAGACAGGTGATCGTCCAACCTCCTCTTGAATTTGCCCAAGGCAGGGGTGAGGACCACTTCCCTGGGAAGTTGGTTCCAGATTCTGGCCACCCTAACTATAAAATATTGCCTTCTGATCTCCAACCTAAACCTATTCTTCATCAGCTTATG